ATATACAAATTGCACAAGGGGATTATGCCAGCATGAGTCAATCTTGGGCGTGTTTATCCTCAGAGAGACATAAGCCTCTGTTTCTAGAGGCGGGTGTTTCTTATCCCTGTTAGACCTATGAATATCTTTCGCCAACAAAATTTGTCACTTTTCACTGTCAGCATGTCTTCTGCTAGAACAAACCCTACAGACTGGCAGGCGTCCAAGTGGGGTGGGGGCTAAGTCCTCTGTGACTATCATTATTTAGTATTTACGTTACAGCAGAACTTCGAGGCTTCTAGCTGAGATTCAGGCGTTGCCGTGCAAGCAGAGAGTAAAAGACACTTCCTGCCCCAAAGAGTTTATAGTCTAAACAGAAAAGATTGGTGATAAATAGCAGAGAAAAGGCAGCATTATTGCAACACAGCTAATGCTAAGGCAATATGGCAAAACCCATGAGATTCTTCTAAAAATAAATGCTGCATTCTCTATTTGTTTTATAGACTATTAAAATTTCTATGTTCAATCTTTCTTAAAGCTAGAAAGTTTGTGGTTGCTGTAACAGCTGCAAATCTTGTTTACTCACATGACTCCAGGAGGTGAAGTCTTGCAAGATGAACATCACTCCAATGATCCTCCTTTTAGTCCCATTTCAAAGTTCCTTTCTGTTGACCTGTCAACAGAAAACATTGAATGTAGCTACACAGCTTGTTTCTTGTGTGCTCCATGTGTGGAGCAAGAATTGTTTCTCTTAGATTGCCCAAGCACAATGTTTTCTCCTCACCCATGAAAATGACTTTTAACAACAAGAATGTTTAATTTTCATATCTCTTCCTCCATTATTCTCAACATACAGTTCAGTTTCCTCTATCTATCCATGTCTCATTGGTATATACTACTGTCAAATCTGTGGATTTGCTGTTCCATCCCTTGCTTTTGACCTTGACATTTTAACCAGCAGAATACTCATATTAAATTCCTGGGTTCTCTGATGACAGGTGATACAAAAGAAGGAAAAAATGAGCAGACAGAAAGGAGTGGGTGTTTTGCCTGCTCAAGGTGGCCTCCACTGTAATTTGTGCATGAGGTTCACCAAACAGGCAGCTGAGCAGAAAAAAGTCTGTGGAAGAAGTGCACTTACACTAAAAATTTTCTTAAAGGTGCAAGCCAAATCTTAAACTGGCATCAACTGGTTTGGCTCACTTGCAGGCAATGGAGATATTTAAACTGTGGTAAACGGTAAGGACTTGTCCCCCGACCACCATCTCACCATCTTCACTTTCTCTGTATATCCTAAAAAGAATATCCAGCAGCATGTCTAAAAATAGGACTTAAATTTCTCAACTTCACAGCAGACAGGCATGCCAGAACTACTGTGTATTATTGTGCTGTGCTGCAATGAGAAAGGAATACTCTTACTGTCTGTGTAGGAGGAAGCCTTTGAGGGGAAAATCATCGATAATAAAGGCCTCTTTTATCTGAAACACCTAACATTTCAGCTCTTCAAATCCCAACATTGCATTTCCTTAAAACAGGTTTCTATTATGTGTTGAACACATCAAATAGAGTAATTCAGTCTCATCATCTAAATTCAGTGTTGTGATAGCTGAATGAAATTGGGGCAAGCTAGCTAAAAAGGTAATAGAAGCTTTTCATAAAAGCAGCATGTGAAATGCATCAGTGGTTTTCTTCAGAAAAAAAAAAAAAAAAAAAAAGAAAAAGGTCTTTGCTTTTCTCTCACGAGCTTATGTTACTGAGTTGAAGACCCCTGATATGGTCTATAGGACAGGACTTCCTAGAGTCAACTAGCAAGGTTAGGACATTATTGTGGTAGTTAGCAAAAGAAACTTCTTGTCCTAGAGAAGTTGGTCTGAGTGGGCAGGAAGATAAATCCTTTCAGTTCTTAGGTCAGTGCCTTAACCGAGGACTTAACAGTTTTCTCTGGTCCAGTTTAGGCATTCCACATTTTATTGCTGTTTTCAAAACTGCTGGGGCTTTTGATACGCAAAAAAGGCCACTGTATACCTCACACAGGAATGAAGTATACAGTGTGTTTGTGAGTTCCCTGACTCAAGAAAAAAGTGGTTCTTTTCCTCTACAGAATGCAGTCCTTATGTCTACCACACATACACTGTACATTCAAGAAAAAGTCCTAACAAGTGCATCAATAAATCTATAATGTACAGCATGAAAAATGTTACTTCCCTGAATCTCAGGGCACACCAGCTCATTCAGTGTGCTTACATGGTCCTTCTAGCATCGTCCAGCCACAGTACTTCTCTTCTCAAAACCTCTGATAAAGCAGTGGTTTTATCCGCCTTTTCTTATAGACAGAGAACTGTGATTCCAGACAATGTAAATTATCAAGGTTACACACTAAGCTCGTGGTGAAACAGCAACCAGCATTTACTTGTCAATTGACATGCTTTCCTTCCACTTCTTTCTGTATCTTTGTTTTCAAGGCAAAGACCATGAAAAAATCCCACCAGGGTCAACATGGTAGAATTCTAAATTGTCTGTACAAGATGCAAGATGCTGGGAAATACTGCTCACTATGCACAAATGCTAATGAAGTGGAACAATTTTTTTCCCCCCATTCCGAGCTGCATTCTCCAATACACATTCTCAATACAGACCTCATATGAAACACAGCGTGTTTAAGAAATTAAATAAAGGCCCTAACATAGATGCGTGTGACAGTTGAACAGAATCTGCGTCCCATCATAAGAACAATACATGAGGATGCTCCGTCACAGCTGGTTTTGTGGGTCTAGAAGAAGGGATACACTCCCTGTGAAATCCTGCTGGCCTCATCCATGAAATCACAAAAATTACACTCCCTCCCCACCCCCATGTTCACACATGTCTGCTCCTGGTATCTCAGCATCACATCTGTTCAGTGGTCACCCTGGATGACGCAGGCTGCAACTCTGTGGGACACCCAAGGCTGCGGTCCTGCGCGAACACAGCTCTGGGTTCATCTCGGCACAAGACAATGGTTTCCCTGGGGTTCAGTGTGTGCAGCTCTGCCTCTTCTTTCAGCCTTGCTGCTGGAGTCAGAGCAGCTCGCCTGCGTGTAACCGGCTTCCACAGAAGAGCACTCGGAGAGTGCCGGTTTCTCCTGTGAATGCGACAGCCTCGCGAACATGCGGGCAGCGAGCAATGCTGAGCAGGGACATGAATGCATGGCGCGTATGGAGTGTTTAGTCAGCACATTTTTCCATGCAGGCCTGGAGGGCAGTCTTGTATGCTGGGACTGGAATGCTGCCCACTTATGGTAGCCAGTTAATGAGGCCGGCACTCCCAACGCAGTACACAAACACTTGCAGAGAATGCCAAGTATCTTGTGATGCACAGGCCACAATTTTCCTAGTTTGCTCTCTTATGCAATACACTTGGCTTCTTGTCTGTCGGCAACTAAGTGTTCTCAGGTGGGTATACAAAGAATGTCTATAAGAATAATATCCCCACTAATAATATTTCCCAGTTACACAGTCACCTGTATTTGAGGTGTTGGTCTGTCAGAGTTCTACAAACTAAAACTTCCAGTGCTAAACTTTCAGTGCTCCTGAGAGGGGGTATATAAAGACTTTCTCACAAGGTCAGAAACACGGAGGTAATAGCAAAATAAGTTACTTTCCCAAAACCACAGGACTCATCAGATGGCAAACTAATTAAACTCTAATCCAGCAAAGCCCTTAGTGCGTATGAAATTTACAGCATGTGAATAATGACAATGAAATCAAATACTTAACCTGACCCACATTCTTAAGAAAATTACTGAACAGCATATGCCATACTACTTAATGAAACGCACACAAACTAATGTGGATACCAGTATCCATCTAGCCATGAGAAAAACAGCTCAGTGTCAGCTGATTTGCCCTGATCCACTGCCTCATGTCCTATATTCATATTGTTTCCTTTTTTTTTTTGTATAAAACTCTTGTGTATTGCCACAGGTGGCTCAGATGTCATTTCAGCCTTTAAAACCTGGTGTCAATCTTGTCCAAATTAAGGAGGCTATCTTCTTTTGTCAGCAGGATGCAACCAACTTGCCTTTCGGGATCCCTCACATCAGACGAGCAGTCCTAATTCTTCTAATAACCGGGAGATGCGTGATTCCTGCACTGACAACTCAGTTCTGTGCAAGTCCATCAGACTTTTAGGATATGCAACCAAATGCACCTGTAATGCAGTTCCCTGTACCATTTTTCTAGTTTCCATTGTGAAAGCTGAAACCCCGGTGGTTCCACAAGGCCGTAATAAAATTAGTTCCCTCCTACTCACAAGATGAACGAACCCACACAACTATTGCGCTCAAGTGTTTATATTCACTAAAAGATGTTTATAATAATGGCCACTTCTTGTACTAGACCTGCACTTATTCTTTACTAAGTAAGCATTTATGTCAAATAAAACACGTACCTGATCGATTTATAGAACCATTTGGGAAAGCCTATTTTAGGAAAATTCTCTGTGGACTGACTTGTCCGCAGCTAGCGCTCGGTTCGTGCTGGCGTGGCAGCACGGGTGTCACCAGCGCCAGCGAACCCCACAGCTGCTCTCCCCACCCCACGGGCGTCGGCCCCGATGGCTCCGGCCACGGCCACGGCCACGGCCCAGGCCCACGGGGCTTCTGCGGGATGGCGCCCCCCACACGCAGCGCCATTTTGACGCAGCGCTTCACCACCGGCCCTTCAGGCCCCTATGGCATTTCGCGCCTCCGGACACAGCGAACGGGCTCAGCCCCTCGCCCGGCGCTCGGAGCTCCTTCACACCTGCGGGCTGGCCAGGCCCAGCGCTGCCCCTCACCCTTTCTCCTTCAGCCGACCGGCGCCTTGGGCTCCTCTGGAGCGAGCTGCAACTCCCGCCATACCTGTGGGAAGGCTAAGGCGGGCGCTGAGGGAGGCGGCGGGGCCGGGCGGGGCGGAGCAGCCACCGCCTGCGCGGATCGGCCGCGCCCGCGGTGCCTCGCCGCCGTGCATGTTAATACGCGGTAATTGCCCGGGGAGGAGCGGCGGGGCGGAGCGAACCGCCGGCTGCCCGCCCTCCCTCCCTGCCGCTCCCCCCGCCGCCGCCGCCGCCTCTCCTCCCCGGCCTCCCTGATGCCGAGGAATGGATAGAGCGGCTGCCCTGCGAGCCGCCGGCATGCTGGAGAGGAAGGAGCGGAGCGGCGGCGAGGCGGCGGCGCGGGGCTTGCCGGCCGTGCGGAGCACGCTGCAGCAGTGCGGGCTGCTGCAGGACCTCATCGACATCTCGCTCTCCAACCTGCGCGGGCTCCGCACGAAGTGCGCCGCGTCCAACGACCTCACCCAGCAGGAGATCCGCACCTTGGAGGTACGGGGCTCGGCAGCCGCGGAAGGGGAGCCTGTGCCTCCCCGCCGGGGGACGAGGCCTGCCCTTCGCGGGGCCTGCCCCCCCCCCCCCCCCCCGGCGCCCTTTCCCCTCAGCACCGGCGACCGCACGTCCCCGCCGGTGGCTGGGCCGTGAGGCACCGCCGCCCGCCCTCCGCCGGGCAGGGGACGGTGTGGGGGTGTGCGGAGGAAGGCGGGACCCCCCCCGGCAGCCCTGTCAGCAGGGGGTCGGGCCCCTCCGCGGCCCGGCTGTGGGGCCGGGCCGGCCGTGGCAGGGCCCCCCCGCCGCTAAAAAGGCGTCGGGCGGAGCGGGGTGCTAAAGGCGAGGGGAGGGCAGGTGCGGGGGAGCCGGCGGGCGGGCCCCGGGGCGGGCGGGTTCGCGGGAGCCCCGGGGGCGCTGGGGGGGGGAGCGGGGCTGACTCGGGGATCCCGGGCAGAAGCTGGAGGGGCTCACGCTTTCCCTCGGGTCTTTGGTGTTTGACGGTTCCTGCCCTTTACTCCAGGCCTGTCTCTATCCCTGGCTCTGTTTCACTGATCTAATCTGATCCTCCTTTTCAGTCTGTTGGTGTGGCTGACAAACATCATCGCCGTCCGGGTTGGAGAGGTGTTTTGCTGTTTAGAAAGATTATATGAAACTCTTTAAGCTAAAACATGCGCTGTTACGATGCTTTTAAAGAAGGGCTGAATTTGTATATGAGTCTCCATAAGTATTTAGAAAGGGAACGTAGACTGATTTTTGCTTAGCTCGTTTGACCTTTACATACTTAAATAACATTTCCTTTTACCTTGTGTCCAGGTAATGTTGCTCTAAGCGGGGTCAACAACCCCCCCCTCTTCTTTGATAGAAGTTTCATGTAAATGCTAATGGTCTTTTTCTGCAGTCTGATACTGGAGACTGTGGAGCTAAAGCACTGGGCCCTTAGGAAGAAAGATCATTACAACAGTGTAACTGTAACAAACATGCTGCAAAATCCATCACATGAGAAATTAAGGTGGGAAAAAACCTGAAACAATAGATGGTAGGTAGCTTTTGGCACAACCTCTTGGAAATGTATCGGTCTTCCTTTTTTATTCCTCTGCCTTTTTTTGTGGATTTTTTTGTTTGTTTTGTTTTGTGAGGTGTTTTTGTTTTGCTTTGTTTTTTTTCAAATTTGTAGCATTTGTTTTCCTCCTGCCACCTCCGAATAGTGTTCAAAAGGCTATTCTTTATAAAACAATATTTGTGTAGGCTTTTGGCAACCCTACTGAAGGCCTTTTTAATGCTCAAACAATGTCAATCAGCATCATTTCAGAAAACGATCATCAGTATTTTGCTGGTGGACCTGTTCTAAAAGGAAACCTTTATTCACAAAGGATAAAGGCTTGTTACCGTCTTCAGGTTCTTCTTAAAGCAAAAAAAGCTGTTTGTAGTGATAGTTGTCGAGTGCGTGCATGCATTCCTCTTAAATCTTCATCTGCTTAAACAAATGGGTGCCACATTCACTGATGATCAGAAAAAATTTTAGCTGAAAAAATTGTCTTTGATTCACGGTCCAGTATATGATTTCTCCAGGAATTCAACCAAGTACTGGATCCCTGCCAACGTGTGAAGCTATGGACATGGATATAGACTCTGTGCCCTTTGCTCTGTTCAGTTGCCTGTACCAAAATACATGTTGTCAGGCATAGCCCGAGTCTTGTGCTTAACTGTGCACTGCTCTGCAGTGGGTTTGTCTTCAGATGCAGAGCAGAGAACCAGGCCATAGGAGATGAGGGTCTGCGTTTACTTCTCGGGGTTGTAACTTCCCATGGTGTGCCAGAGGGTGGTGGGCTGCAGCGTTGTCTCTAGTGCCAGGTGACCCGCCTGTGGCGTTCCACGGTGTAATTATTGTGCCTTGGTTAACGTGTCAGAAATGCGTGCGTGGTCACATGCGTTTGCTGTCGGTCGCATCAGTAGGGCCAGGTGCTCCGATACCGCAGGGAGCCAGCGGTGCTGATGGTTTGGCTGTGGTGCTCCGCTCTGGGCGGACTGTAGGCAACTCCTCAAGAGTCAGTAGTTTTAATCAGAAGCTGGGAGCTGGATCTCCAGTGCCTCCGTGGTTCTCTGGGTGGCCTTGCCAAGTCACCGAATGGCTCTGTGGATTGTGATTAGTGGCTACTAATGGTATGGTTGCTGGGCCTGCAAGCCTCATCTGTACTTTGGATTTCAATCTACACAAGTCTTCTGTTCTTGTGCAGAAACTTTTTAATGGAAAAAGAATTGTAAAACTTAGCTCCATCAGTATAACTGGTAAACTGTGTAGCAAAGCCACAAGGAAATGATAAAACATGAGATAGATGAAAGCAGCAAACTGGAAGCAGGAAGTACTAGTTTGGGAAGGGAGGGGACTTGACTGGAAGCTGAAGAAGTAGCTCCTGAGGCCAAATGCGAGGCTGCACGTGTCTGATTTGAAGGCACTCCAATATACTACATCAAAAATCGGTTTATTGATTTCACTGTTTGTTTTTATTCAAAGGGGCCAGAAGGCAGGGAAGCTTCCATAATACGATCTGTAAATAGCTCATACATCTCTGGAAGTTCTGTAATGGCTAGTTTTGGTGTCAAAACTGTGAACTTAACAGGTGAAGGGACACAGATCCTTGATGACAGTCTTCTATATCAGTGAACCGCAGGTGTTCAGACCACCCGTGCGTGGGGGCGAATATCACATCAGATGGACGTGGCTGTCTAAACTCTATAGCAGCACAAGTCAGACAGCAGCACGTGCTCATTGCCGCTTCTAATCCCAAGGTTAGCACAGCCCTGACGTGAAGTTCTGAAAGTAGTTGTAATGTGAATGGAATCAATAGGTTAAAACCCCAGTGCAAATCAATCTAAATGCTTGTGTTATTTTATTTTTCACACTAGACATACTAGCGTGGTCCTTTTGGTACCACTTCCCTCTGTGCCTGGTTCACAGCTTAGATAGCGGTCATGTATACCACATGATTCATAATGTGTGTGCTTCAAAGTCAAGAACACCAACCTAACTAAAAGTATTTGAGTGCATGCTTATGGCCCTCCCAATTTACTGAAATGCTTGAAGTCCTTCCTCATTCCTCTTGTGTATAAGGTCTTCTCAAAATAAAGCACATGGTAGGTGAGGGTTTCAAACTGTGACCCTGACAGGTGAAGCAGTCATGGTAGCTCAAATGAGTGCAGGGAGAACTTTCTGTAATACAGAAAGAAGGTGGGGAAAGAAAGGGCTGTGGGAATAGCTTGCAAATAACGTGTTGAGTATAGATGTGTTACATGAGCTGAGCTGACCCTGTTTCACATGTAGGAAGGCCATTTCTTAGAAGGGCAGGGAGTTTCCCTGTAGTGGAAAGTAGATTGTCTTAGTTTGGTTATTAGCAGAGTAGGTTCTCTGATACAAAACTTTTAAAAAAATACAAGACCTTGTGGTACTGTTCTGCCGAATAAGTGCTAGAGTGTTTTTCTTTTTACCTAGTGCTTTGGTATATGGCTTGCTTTCAGTTCTGTCCTAGCAGGTTTACTCACTTCTCAAGTCAACTACAAAGCTGAAATGGAAAATAATGGTAATCTTAACCCCTATGCTCTTAAGACAGCAAAAAATGACTTGCCATGTGGTGAGCGTCTAGTGTTGCTCCCAGCATCCATGGAAAGAAACAACTTTGTCAGTCTTTAACTCTGTCCTTATGCTAATCCCTTGTTTGACTCTTAAATTGCTTTTGCAAAGTTAGAAACATATACTTTTTAGCTGTATTTTTCTGTAAAAGCAGTGTCTTTCTGGATTAATTTATTTGGCTAGGAAGCTGGTAATGGGACTAGACTTGACATCTGTAGTGAAGCACATGAAACTTCTAACACTGCAGCTCAAGCCAGTCTGTTGGAGGTGAGGAGAATACAGTCCTACGTGCTGGCTGCAGGGAGGGTTCCTGTGGTTTCTCAATCTCTTCTGCTGGAAATGTCATAGCTGGTTTGGTTCAGTAAACTGTGGGAATTATGAGACTAAATGGGACACCTCTTTCTATCCCCCCCCACTTTTAACTGCGGCAAAGATGAGGCAGGAGCAGGCTGAACTGAGACCTAGAGTGTCTTTAGATTATAGATGTATTTTCTTTCTACCTTGGCTCTCATAAGAGCTAACTGCGCTGTTTCTGGCATGGAAGCTGCCTCCAAACTGGTTATGGTGGGAATGTCAGGGTGGGGCAGTAGCATACGTTGCTAAGATCTGCCTGATCTTTAAGAAAAACTGTCCTCGTTGCTCTGTGGCTGGATTATGTGTGTGATAGAGACACTCTTGGCTCTGTGCGCAAAGATCACTTTGACTTCTTTGGGAATGTCGTCTGTTGAGCACCTCCAGAAAATACAACACCAGATCAGAAAGCCCGACTCCTGCTGTGCTGTGTCACACATAAGCGATTCTACTACTCCACATATCAGTTTTTCATATTGGCTAAAGGATACCTGTGGATTAAATATGTTTGAACTTGCTTTGTCATTATCTCGATTCATTGGGCAATTTGGCTGGAAAAGGCTTATCTTTTACCAAGCAATCTCTAAGCAGAAACAAATGCTTTGAAAATGGGGGGGGGGGGGGGGGGGGAGGGGGCATGAGAGGAGAAGAAGAGAAATTGTCATTGTCCAAACTTGCAGAATGGATGTTGGGCATGTGGTACACATAATGAAAGGAAGACTGTGTGTTTGTAAATTGGAAGTAGTGGGAGTAGTAAATTTTTCAGGCCAAACTGCAACCTGTAGCCACATGTTTATGAGCCACGTTCAGCTGAAAAGACTTCCTTTTCCAGCAGGTCTTATGTAAGAGAAAAAGAAAGCATCTTACTTCATCTTACTTTTTGCATATATGCAACACATTTGTGTTTCTTAAAGGTGTCTTGGTTTTTGTAGGACTCTTTCTTTTTTCTTAAATTTGTGCTCTTGTTTGTTTAAGATAGGCTTCAACAGAGATTCTGTTCGACTTGGAAGGAGGGAGAACCATG